CCCCTACCCCACCCTACCTCCTCTCACCACCCTACCCCTACCCTCCCACCTCTCTCTCACCCTACCTCCTCTCTCTCTCTCCCTCCTCCACTCTCTCTTCACCCTACCTCTCTCTCTCTCTCTCTCTCTCTCTCAGGGGTGGCCTCTAGTGTCAATTTGTAGGTTTTGAAATTGGTTTTATGTGATTTTTAGTAAATGATTTTTACCTTGCTAACTAAGCTACTATATTCAACATTTTCTTTTATGGGTCTTTAAGCTAGCCTTGAATCAAGAGGTGCATTGGAGTTTGATCTAAATTTGAAACATGTTCCTTTTTTTATACTTTTTAACCGTTTTTCCCAATATTGGCTAGAGAGTACCAGCCTTAAGCGTGATTTGTATCTGATTTTAATGTAGAAATTCCATGATCATGCCCCAAAACTGTGCATGTTCCTTAATTTTAGACCTTTTTCTAGTAGATTCTTTGTTAGTGTTTCTGGAAGGGTATAAGACTGGTTGTCTGTTATTTCGCTTTAGTGGAAGGGTTGTCTTCCAATACAGCAATTCAAAAATTAACTTCCATTTTAAGTTGTTGCCATGCAAAAAATTTATATAGGTTGTCAATCTTCTACTATAGAAGTAAGGTGCCTTTCAAAAAGCCATCAAGAAAGCTTTCTAATGTTGAAATATCTTCTAATTGATCATCTTGACCTCAATATGTCTGGGTATAAAAGAAAAAAAGATTTCAAGTTTAGAAAATAATGCATCATGTAATGCATTATCCGGTCTGTCTATTTTCAAGATTTTTAAGTGTTTGTAGATCTGTTCGATCTATATTATTTTCAGAACTTTAAAATTCATAAGATGTTATTGCAAGAGTTCTGGAATTGCGTCTTTCGGCATTGTTCGGGAGTATGCTTTACTTTTGAAGGTCACCCCACTTTTTTTTCCATGTTAGCAAAAGCAATGAACATCACATTAATAATGTATCAATTACTAATTATATTCGGGGAAATTTTTAAAAGAAAATAAGGAAGTAATGAATTTATGAGAGAGATGTATCCTCTAGACAATCTAAACAGGGGATAAAATGTCTTTTTGGCTTAGATGTTATCTAAGAAGCATACATCAATCGTCTAGGATTGCCAAATCTCAGGAGATGCCTATTTGACGAGCGTGTCTCCTTAGGACAGGCATTGCTAAATCTCAGGACATGCGGATTCGAGGAGTGTCTCCTTAGGATAGGCATATCTGACTATCCAAACGGTTAGTGCATATTTCAAAAATGGCCTTTTTAAGATGGTAAATTTATTATTTGCATATCAACAATATATTATTTTTAAGGATGCGGTTTCTATAGAGCCAAGGCTCAAAACAATCAAAATAAAGCACATATTCAAATAATGTAAAAAAATATGGTTTTCATATTGGAAATCTTTGTGATGGCCTTAAAATATGTTTTCATCTTTAATTGTAAAATTTAAAGCTTCAAAAATAGTGTAAATCGAGCAGACAAATGAAAACTTGAAAATCTTTAAAATTGACGGTCTAAAAATGTGTTACAAGATGCACTATTTTCAAAAGTTGAAATCCATTTTTTTTTCTCATGTCCATGCATCTTGATGTCAAGATGATCGATTTGAAGATATTTGGGCATTAAAACAACTTCTTTTAGTGAAAATTTTGAGGTGGGCTCTAATTTGATAATTCAAAGCCTCAACTATATATAATTTTTTTCCTATTTTTAATGATAAAAATGCCCTTCCTCATTTTTATTGCTATAGAATAACATAATAGCAACTAAAATAATCTTGATAGTTCACACCACTTTTTTCCTTTTGCACACACATCCTATCATATTGACCTATGCAAATATCTCAATGAAAAAAGTTTGAAAAAAATTATAAATGGTTAAAGCAATGTTCCAAAAAAACGTTGATCCGATTCCAAACCGGGCGATCCGGATTAGGTATCAGTTGGGCCGTTCTGAATCCAGTCACAAAACGGGATCCGGCTGTGTAATCGATGTGCTGAATCCAATCACAAAACGGGATCCGGCTGTGTAATCGATATTATAACGTCATCAAATTGAGTATTGTATTGGGAGGGTATTTTTGTAAAAATTTTTAAAAATCGGGGCAATTATGGCATTGTACAAGTACGACCAGGTGTACACTACCTCATGGTTTTCAAGCATGTGATGAAATATGGTACTAAGGAGTCTTGTATTCACGTTTAACTTCTTTTATTTTTTCGATGTGGGATTTGAGCATGGTACTTATTGTGAATAAAAAGTAATTCAGGATACGCTTGAAAAGGTAATACAATAGACCTTTATTATAAAAGATAATACAACAAGTGGTGTTGTGGTGTAGTCGGTTATTACGTTCATCTTACACATTAAAGATCCCTAGTTCGAACTTGGGCAGCACGTTTTTCTTGTCAAAAATAAAATAAAAAGTAATACAACAAGTATTTCTTGTCAAAAAGTAAATAAAAAGTAATACAACAAGTATCATGCTTTTCAAGCACACATTTAAGCAACAAGTATTTCTTGTCAAAAGTAAATAAAAGGTAATACAACACGCATTTATGGAACAAGTATTTCTTATCAAAAGTAAATAAAAGGTAATACAACAAGTATCGTACAACAAGTATTTTTTGTCAAAAAGTAAATAAAAGGCATTACAATAAGTACCATACTTTTCAAGCACGCATTTCAGCAACACGTATTTCTTACACGCATTTAAGCAACACGTATTTCTTGTAAAAAAGAATACATATTTCTTGTCAAAAAGTAAATAAAAGGTA